AAAAATCGGTTGTTTGCATGCGAGTGTGGAAGGAAGGGACATGACAAAGGCAATTGCTTCAAGATCATTGGTTACCCGGAATGGTGGGGAGAGAGACCACGAACCGATAGAAACGATGAAAAAAATCAACAAAGAACAGGAACCTTCCGAGGAAAAGGAGGAACGGCTCGCGTCAATATGGCGCACACTCGGTGCGGATAACGTTGGTTCAACCGAAAACCGAAGTCGCGAGGATCGAGTAATGAGCAATGGCGGATCTTGACAACGAATGTTGAATTCTCGCAAGGCAAATGAAACCGAAAAGATGATCGGTAAGAAAGCATGTGACTTGTGAATTATTGATAGTGGCGCCTCTAATCATATGACAGGAACACTAGAAAACTTGAGGGAGAGTCGAGCCTTGGAAGGGTGCCCAGTGGGACTACCAAATGGTGAATTGGTGCTGGCAAACAAAGAAGGATCGGTTTTCCTTGATGGAGGACTGAAACTTAAACATGTTCTATATGTTCCGAAATTGAATTGCAATTTGATTTCAGTATCACAATTGACGAATGAAGTAAAATGTACAGTACATTTTACTGATAGATTTTGTGCAATACAGGACCACACTTCGAGGATGCTGATTGGAGCGGGTGAACGAAAAGAGGGACTCTATTGGTATCGTGGTGTGAGTGGCATAAAGGCGTATCAGACCAATGCAGAAAATCAACTAGAGATTTGGCACAAGCGAATGGGACATCCTGCCTACCAGATTGTTAGAAAAATTCCGCATCTGAACAGCGTGAATAGAAATACGGATACAACTCGTGTGTGTGAAGTGTGTGAGAGATCAAAGCAATGCAGAAACACATTTCCTTTAAGTGATTTTCAAGCATCCAATATATTTGATTTAATACATTGTGATTTATGGGGTCCATATAGAACTCCCTCGTCTTGTGGTGCATCTTACTTTCTCACTTTGGTTGATGACTGTTCTCGAGCTGTGTGGATATATCTCTTGAATAATAAGAAAGATGTGTCACAAACCTTAATGCATTTCATCGCCTTAATAGAGCGACAATACGAGAAACAAGTCAAAATATTACGAAGTGACAATGGAACTGAGTTTATGTGTCTTCAACGATATTTTCAGCAACATGGGATTCTCCATCAAACCTCATGCACTGGAACACCTCAGGTATGCCTTACAGTTTGACAAAGTACTTAAATTGTGCTAAATTCTCTTTCCCCCACCGAACCTTTCTTGCAGCCCTTCATGCAGAGAGAGAACCTGTGCATTTCTTTGAAGCTGTTCGGGATGTTAGATGGAGAGATGCCATGGCTAGTGAAATTCAGGCCCTCCAAAGTAATGAAACATGGGACATTACTCCTCTACCGGCAGGGAAGAAGCCTCTGGGTTGCAAGTGGATTTATAAAATCAAATATCATTCTGATGGGAGCGTTGAACGCTTCAAAGCCCGATTAGTTGTCTTGGAAAATCACCAAGTTGAGGGGATTGACTATGACGAGACCTTTGCCCCAGTGGCAAAGATGGTCACCATTCGGACAAGTGTTGGCGAAGTGGCAGTAGCCAAAGACCGGGAACTCCATCAAATGGATGTCCATAATGCTTTTCCGCACGGCGATCTTGAGGAAGATGTGTACATGAAAATGCCGCCGGGGTTCTCGGTGTCTCAAAAGGGTATGGTGTGTCGTCTCCGCAAGTCCCTTTATGGTCTTCGTCAAGCTCCTCGGTGTTGGTTTGCCAAGCTCTCAACCGCTCTTGTTCAATATGGGTTTCAACGTTCTTCGTCCGATCACTCCTTGTTCATCTTTCGCAAAGGAGATGTCGAACTGGTTGTGTTAGTTTACGTGGATGACCTAGTCATTGCTGGAAATCATCATGAAGACATTGCGCAATTCAAAGATTATCTTCATCAATGTTTTCATATGAAGGACTTAGGGAAATTAAAATACTTTCTTGGGGTGGAGGTTGCCGGATCTCCTACAGGAATTTTCTTGTGTCAACGAAGTATGCGTTGGACATCATAGTCGAAGCGGATTGCTTGGAGGGAAACTCGTGTCCACGCCAATCGAAGAAAATCATCGTTTAGCATTGGCCGATGGCGAACTACTTTCTCGACCCGAGTCAATATCGACGTCTCGTCTGGCCGCCTTATTTACTTGTGTTTTACACGACTCGAATTATCTTACAGTGTTCATGTCCTATCTCAATTCATGCACCAACCGCGTCGAGAGCATTGGCGGGCTGCACTCCGCGTGGTACGCTATTTAAAGGGCAGCCCGGGTCGGGTGTGCTTTTAAAAAGAGAGAGTGACCTTCGTCTTTATGGTTGGTGTGACTCGGACTGGGCAAGTTGTCCTCTCACTCGAAGATCTCTCACCGGTTGGTTTATTTTCCTTGGTCAATCCCCCGTTTCCTGGAAAACCAAGAAGCAACATACGGTTTCTCGATCATCCGCCGAGGCGGAATATCGTTCTATGGCCAACACGACATGTGAGTTGAAATGGCTTCAAGGCCTTCTTTCGAGCCTGGGCATTACTCACACCGACCCTATGACTCTCTACTCGTGACAACCAAGTCGCCCTTCACATTGACAAGAATCCTCGTGTTTCATGAACTGGACAAAACATATTGAAGTGGATTGTCATCTTATTCGTGATGAAATACAACACAATCATATCCAACCCTCCTATTTGTCCACTCATCATCAACTGGCTGATCTCTTCACCAAATCTCTTGGCGCCACTAAATTTGGTTCTTTTTTAGGCAAGTTGGGCATTCATAACCTTCATACTCCATCTTGAGGGAGGGTGATAAACATAGAATATACGATTATAAATACCGTATCATGCCATGATTCTACATGATTAATTTTTTCCATATTTAGCTTGGCATGACAGCGATGCACAGTGATGCACATTAATGTCATATCTGTTAATAGACAAATTTAGGATACCGACTATAATGGTTAGCGTAATTATAGCCTAGAATGTTTCTGTATTTCATGTATATATTGTGCTATCATATTCAATACAAGACAAGGGGTTTTTGGAAACAATTTTATCACAATTTTATGTAGACATGGGTAAAAATTAAAAACCAATGTGATCCACTTCCATCATACCTTAAATTATTTTCCGTAAATATTTTATTTCATTAACTAAACACCTACTCTTCACTCAAGTTGTAAGTGTTCTTCACTCTAACAAATTTAGGCTCTATTTTTGCATAATAAATAATATATAATATTATAAGTTGTATAAAGTTACAACATATAACATGAGATCATACATAAACACATTAAACATGTATAAATGGTGGTAATGTGGTGAAAATTGTTATTCACAGTTCAATCAAAATAAAGCTCCCTTTTAATAGCGAGAGTTTTGCTAGTCACAATTGAATAATATGGACACTTTCCTTTAATGACATATACAATTGAATAATACTATTTCAAAAATTAAATAGGTTTCACTTTTTGTTTGTAATAAAAATGGATTGTATCCATATAGAATTATTCTTCATGTGTAGTCCATTAAATATTATAATATAAAATATAAAATTTTTGAGAGAACTAGTAAAAAAATTATGATAATTTTTTTCTTCTAAAAAATATTCAATTATTGAAAAAAATTCAATATATTTTAAATATCAAATCGAGATTAATTAAAACAGAAATAAAGTATTGATAGAACTATATCATCTAAAGATACTAAACAATTTTAATAATCTGATTTTTCTTTCATCATACATACATAGTTTTCATTTTACACATCACTTAAATTAACTCATTTTAATAAAAGTATTTCATTAGGCTTAAGTCTCTCCAACATTGTAAATCTATTTGAGTGTTTAATTTAGTCCTACTAAAATACCCACATTCTTGTAAAATGTCACTTTTTCATTTAAAAAAATATTAATTTTTTTTTAATTATAAGCAACGGGGGTTAAATAAACAATATATGGTTAAATTTGTACATTACTATAATGACAAAATCTTATTTGCAATTAATTGTTGCTTCTATGGGATAATGCTGATTTACATGCTTTAAGATGATAAGGACATGTTTAATTACATTAATGTTTTTTAGAAAACAATAATAGATAAAAGTATCCAAAGTTAATTCTTATTTATACTCAAGTGGAAATTTTATTAGGTTATTGCTGATACTAAAGATTTTTCATTACGAAAAAGTGCAAGAATTGAAGTCAACACACTTTAATTAAAAATCATTCCATATATTTTAAAAGCAAAATCGCACTCATTGCTAATTTGGTTATTGCTTAATTAATAAGTTGTTTCTCCATCCGCGATTAAAGTTAAGATATAATTCAATTAAAAGTTGGTGATGAATTCACTTCTCTCTCTCCATCATTATTTTACATGTTTAATCACATCATTAAAAGATGATGGCAAGCTCAATTAGAGATAATTAATTAGCTTTAAATGACACATTAGACAAATTAAGTATAAAAAACAATAAAGATCATATTGAATATCACTTGCAATCTTTCATGTCTTTAATCAAGCACATAACAGCCACTACTTGACTAATTTTACGAGTGGAGAGGCAAAAATATCGCGGACAGATCACTTTGTTCCCAAAACATACAACCACTTAGACAGGACACGACCAATTTCGAAACCCCATTGGCTTATATTGCAAAAGGAAAGAGGTTGAAAAGAAACCATGATGTAAATTTAGAGAGAATAAGAGAGTCAACTTGGTCAAAGAAAAACTTTGGATATGGAATTGCTGATAGCGTAGACAGATACATATATATAATTCATGACACTGTCCAAGTAATATATATATTTTTTTTTTCTGACCTTACAATTACAACAAATAAAGTCTTCAAACTCTCTCACTATCCTGTTTTTTTCACTCGCTGAATATTTGATTGGAGTTCCTTGAATGAGTGGAACTGGGTGGTGAGAAAATGATACAGTGGTAACTAGTTTTCAATTAGCAATGTGACCAAATAAGGATCTCAGGTTATGTAGCAATGCAATAGGGTTCCCAGAACAGAAAAGACCTCCTAGAATCCTTGCAACTCTTGGAATTGTTCTCTAAGGAAGAGTGATTGTTGTGTTGAAAGGTAAATGTGTTAGGAGAAGAAACAGTTTTTGGCGTGGGCTTGGTTTTCCGGTAGTATTCAAAAGCATTGAAAGCACCTGAAGATGAGGGAATTAACCGAACCCTTGGCCTTGGTGGCAGAGGACTATGTTGTGTCACATCAATATTCTTAAAATTGACCACATTGTTGAACTTCTCCGACCATTTTGAACTTCTATCAAAATTACCTACTCCACCCGGTTTGTTCATCATCAATGCTAATCCAATCCCACTAGACAACAACATGGGTTCATGCTGTTGCTCCTTCTCACAACACTCAAGTTCCTCTGACTCATCATCTCCTTCCTCAAACTCTTCTTCTTCTTCTTCTTCAGACATTTCAGCAAAAGTGAGGACAAGACGACCATTTTCTCGTTGAGCGAAAAAATTGATCTGTGAAGGAACGGACACAGCTTGTATGAACAACCTTCCGTTGTCGCGGTGGGACCGCATGTGAAGTGAAGGGAGTGGCGGAGGAAAAGAACGAGGAGAAGACTTTTTCACGGCATGGTTTTGTTTGCGCACTTGAAACTCTTCCACGTGTGTAATTTCCACTGTCTCTATCTCTTTCACCTCCTCTTCTTTTTCTTCCTTCTCCTCCTCGGAATCATCTGTCTCAGATGGTGAATAAGAAGAGAACCCATCTGAGCCAGTTTCGGATCCGAGACTCTCCGTGCATATCTCGAGACTCTTTTCACTCAAACAGCTCTTTGACCTTCTCACAAGTGGGTGAACATAAGGAGTGATAGTTAATTTGGAGCTTTCTTTGTCTGTCTTCGACAAAATTGAACTCCATGTATCAAACTCTCCCGGTTTCTCCACATTCTCCTCCTTTTGAATCGTATTCAAAAGTTGGAACCGGTTTTGTTTCATTTCTTCGCTGTTGTCATCTTCTGACGAAGATGATGAGTCATCAACAGTGGTTTCTGCAAGTGAGTGAGAGAGTGCTTCTGAGGAGGCGATCTTTTTCATTGGAGAAAACCCGTTTTGAGAAAGCCATCTCTTGGAAGACATGTCTGCGGATAGAGTGCGTCGAAGAGAAGTGGCAGAATCATTGTTAGAGCCCAAAATGGTGACAATGCCCTGCTTCTGCATCAGAAGAGTCTCTTCGTCTATTCTCTGAGACTTCGGTGATTGGATTTTTTTGTTAGTACAAGTTGACATCTTTGGTACCAACAACAAGTACAAGAACACACACTTACTTATCTGCATGAAAGGCAAGAAAAACTAATAAGAAAATGGTAAACAAAATATATAACCTGAGAATCAGGTAAACTAAAGTTTGTGATGATACCAGAATTGAAGTTACATATTTGGTACATGCATGTGAATTTTAAGAAAAATAAACAAATGGGAAGCTTAAGAAACAAAAAAATAATTTATTAGATGGATAGTTACCTGAGGCAACACAACAGCATCCAACAGAGGTTTACTTTGAGACCACTGGGAATGAGAGTTGCGAAGGAAGAAAGGGTGATGGTTATGACGATTGAGATGATGTTAGAGGAATGGTTGTGGTTTATGGTACTGAAAGTATAAGAAATGGGGGGTATTTGTAGGGTGCCAAAAAGCTTCTTGAACCGTATCCTCTAGGCCACCATGAAAAGTCCCATTTATTGGTTTCCTTATATATATTTTTTCATTGTTTTCCCATCTCATAAAAAAGGTGCCATGCAATCAAACTCCTAATTGGTTCGTATGAGCCCTTGTATTCATGATTTTGCTGTTTAGCCATAAACAATGTATTGACTATTACACCACTGTGACATTACTAAAATGAAAATGGGATCAATGATTAATTTAAACATTGAAACGAAGTTACAATTAGAATCATGACTTGGGTCTTATTAAATTCAAGTAGAGAAAAATACCTACCTAATTATAGCGTTTATAAGATATCTTATTTGTTTTAAGACTTAATAACATGGAGTGACATAAACTCAATTAACAATAGCCATCAGATAAACTCTTCATCAAAAAATTGATCATATCAAGAATTAAACAGCTGGAAATTGTTCAATAACAAGTAGCTAAATAGGCCTAGTTACCAATAACTACTGGATATATCATGTGATACCATTAATTTAGTAATATGAACACTAATCAGTGTGAAATCTTGAACAGTTGGGAATAATGAGAGGGGTACAGCTAAACAAATTTTGTTGAGCAGTGAATACATTCTATTGGATTATGTCGAATTTGCTTAGCTAACAGTGCATTTTTTTTTCCTTTTATATAGATATTAATTAAGGGAGAGTATGGCCACTGCAAAAACAGTGGACTCTGCTCTGTCCCTGTATTCAGATTTTACAGTAAGATAATATCCATTTCATTAGTCCATATGTGTGTAAAACTTTGTAGTTGAGTAACCACCAGAAATGCAAGTTACATGATCAACTTGATGTCACATGAGAAAAGTAGTTCCATGAAAACAACTGTGTATTAACCATTTACTGTAGTCTCCAGAGTCCAGACATATGTATTACCGTTGTCTCTGTATCTCTCATCCCACTTGATGCACCATTAACATGCAAGGTCGCTTTCATTATGTTCTTCAATAGCGTGTGGTTTAGTTTCATAAACTTACTTTGGGAAATTGGGGGGTAAAAAACTATTCTATCAGAACAAGCCCGGAATGACAATTACATCTATAGTGGTAGGAAGATACAAAATGTTCATAACAATAAGAGATAATAGCCACTAAAATTGGTTCATGGCTCTGTATTTTTCAACAAAAACTTAAGAGGATGAGCTAGGTTTGATAATTGGGTTTAGTTTAACTCAAGGTATGTAAAAAAATTTACTGGAGACATCTCAACACATGTAGAATAATTTAATACATCTCTCATATCAATTTTTTTTTTTCAAATTAAAAACATTGACTATATAATATTAATAACCTTTTTGATATTAAAAATATAAGCGAAATATATTCCTTAACATCCTTAATAACCCTTTTTTATATTAAGAAAATAAGCGATGTAATGTTAATTAATATAAATATTTTCCTTAATATTCTTAATTTAGACAATAATTAAGATTTTGTATAAATTATTATCCAATTTTTATTATATTATTTATTGATTTTATTGGTCTATATTATTATTCTTCATATAATTTATATATTTATGATTTTTAAGTTTTTTAAGTTTTTTTTTAATTATCTTTTATATCTATAAATAAAATATTTTACTTAAGAAAATAAAAAAAAATCTTTATTTTTTTTTATGTATATGTTATCGGATCTTCTTCATTATAATTTTATAATTGTTAATATGTATTATATATAATATAATAATGACTAACAAAATTACAATTTTCTCCCACTAAAAAGTTTGGAAAATGTTCTAAGAATTATAAATGTTTTTCTTATATTATTATTAATTATTATTAAGTAATTTTTTTTGGATAAATCAATTATATACAAGTTGACAAATATAATTAAGAATAGAAATTCAGGTTGTGTTATTATTTTTGTGAGTGCAGGAATTCCACATCTCTCATTGGTACCATAGGAATTAGGTAAGACAGAGAGTTGCATTTATTGGGTGAAAATGGCTTAAGCAGGAAGCAAAGGAATAAAGTTTGTGAGAGAGCAATATGATTGGGCGGCTAGTAACCCACAATCCCACTGTCTGATAGAGAATCCAACACTCATATCTATATTAATTTTAAACTGAGATTGTTTAATCACAAGGAATAATGTATGTGGAAACGAATGAACGCGCGTCGTGTCTTGCTTTTTTGGACCTCCTTTTGGCTACAATACTTGCTTCATTTGTCTTTCACTCTCTTTATCACGCTATTTTGCACTAAAATTCCTTCTCCCTGCTATTGGAAAGTCATGTGTCTCATACACACATATAATGATGCCAATACGTCCACCAATTAATAATACCCACAAAAAGGTGCTGACGTTGATCAATGCTTCAGACAAATAAAGTTAGAAAATTGAAGAATTAAGAGTTTATTTTAAAAAATACAAGATTATTTAATAATTATTTGGTTAAAACAGTTATTTTTTTTACAAATTTTTAAAATAAAATATTATAAAAATAGTTTCTATTTAAATTTTTTAATAAATATTATCTTTTTTGTTATTAATTATATTGTATCATTCATTTTTCTTATTATAAAATTATGGAATTATTTTGTTATTTTTTTTAGATTTTGGTAATTATTTAAATATTCATTCTCTTTTATATAAAATATTTATCAAAAATAAAGTTATTAATTTTTTTAACTTTTTTCAAGAATAATTTTTTAAATTTGATTTTAAAACAATTTTTAAAAGATTAACTAAATTATTTTTCACCTGACATTTATAAAGAATTTAATATGTATTTTTAAGCAGAAAAATATTATAAAAGACAATATAGAATATTATCTACTGCTAGCGAAAACATTAAATATTAAAAAAAGGAATATAAAAAAATGGAAAACTAGTAAAATTATCTTCAACATTGAAAAAAAATCAACCTTTGCAGAATCAAATACAATGTGAGGTAATACTATTTTTGTAATATTGGGATGAAGTAAAACTAATGTATAAAACACTTCTTAGACAACTTGAGCTATGAAATAGATGTGAAAATTACTTCCTAAATCATTTTATTAAGAAATCCGAAATATAGATGCTCTTTGCAAATTTATATGAATTAGTAATCAATCTAAAAACATATAAAGTTGACACTTTTCACAATTTTTTAAATTTTAACAGGTTTTTTTGAAACGTGTTTGTATTAAAAATCAATTTAAAAATATTCTTTTACATCGATTTAAAAATAATCCCAAGATGAATTATGGGTACAATCTCGTTAAGACGATGACATGAGTCACTAAAACAGTAACTATTTTATGTATTTATGTATGCGATTTATTATATATATATATATATATATATATATATATATATATATATTACATATTACGTATTATACAAGTTTAAATATTTAACTAATGAACCATTAATTTGACAAATGATTGGCTCAATTTTAGCAATATTATCCCTTTTCGAGGAGTGTTTTTGGTTATCAATCTTTAAATTTTTAAAATTCAAGTGACTTTAGAATCTTCGGTTTTTTTCTTAATGCTAAGATGGAAATATAATTTATTGTTTATATTCTAAATATTCATGAAAAGAAAAAGTTTTAAGTTTGGATTATTTTAACGAATAAAACATTCGTATATGTTTGGATAATTTTTTCGGAAATATTTCTACAAGAAAAAAATTCTTAAAATTAGTTATTGCATAAGTTGGAAAAAATTGAAGAATTATATGACAAGGTTCATACAAATTTACTTATGGTAAATTAATTTTAACTTGTAAATAATTTTATTTTATTTTTCTACCATTTGTTAAGGAAAAAGTTTCTTCTGCATAAATAATTAATCCTCTTAAAAAATGAACTAGAATGCGAATTGAAACTCTAAAATAAATATTATTAGAATTTCATTTAATTTGTAATGCTTAAAATGGATGGATTTGGACTTGACTTGTGTCAGTTTGTAAATTTTTAGATTCTGGGAATCCGAATTTTTGGTTTTCAAGATATTCCTTGTATATAGTTATGAAAATGATCGATTGATTCGGATAGCAATTATTTAGCAACAACTTAGCTATCATGTTTGCACAAGCATAATGTGATATTCACTATTCAGCCACTATTATTATTTTCATAAACTTATGAAAGTTTGTGGCGCTAACCAAACGACTTGGTTAATTCGTGATAATTGGATTATTTAACTTCATAGATTCCGTCAACCTAAGTGCTATCTTACTTAAACCTCAAAGGTATTGGATTATCGTGCATCTTTGTGTGGACCTATGCTTTTAAATTTCTTGAAAAATTTCAGCAATTTTTTTTAACCTATATGAAATAGCATAGTTTTTTACCTACACTTGTTTCAAAATGGCTATTAATTTATGGAAGTATAAAGCCAAAGTATTGGTCTTTTTTATTTTTTTTTATTTGTTTCATAACTTTTTTTTTTACTTATATTTTTGGTTATATTAGAAGAATTTCTTGATCTATAATTGGGTTAATTTTTTAAGGATGAGTTTGGGAATTCATAACAATGACCTTACATACACT